GCTTTCTTCCATATCGAATTTGTTTTGCATACATTTGCATGCTGCCCATAGACCCATTCACATTCCCTGTCCCATTTGTGAGCTCACATCATTTGCCAGTCAAGCTGGCGAGTGTGTGTGTGTGTGTGTGTGTGGATGTGTGGAGGGAAATCCAAGATTCTAGATTATGCAATATAAATGACATGTAAAAATAGAAAGGGGGAAAAGAAAAAAAAAAAAAGGCAGCAGCCACAATTGTGTGTGTGTGAATGAAGGGCACAAAGAATCTCTGCACCTTTTAAGACAGTTGGAGGCACATGGGGATAAATTCAGGAGGGGGTGGGAGGAGACCACAGGCACAAGCCATTTCTGAGCACTGATTACATGGGTAAATTGTTTGTTCCAGTGTATCACAAAGAGAAGGAGCATTATTTTTCATGCCACAGCTGTTTTGAATGAGAATAGGAATAAACTTAACTATCCTCCTCATGTTACTTACCACTAATTATGGCATATATTTACATCTATAAAACAGTGAAATTTTGGGAGACATAATTTAATGCCCCTTTATTGTGTAGATTCCTTTATTTCCATCCCACATTTGAATTTCAAAAATGTTTAGGACTTCAAAGCATCTTTAAAAGCTTGCCCTAATTATAATATGCATTACTTTCTAAAACTCCTAGTTTGCATTGCAGATTCCTGCAAATAGAGGCATTCATTTTAAACATCAATTAATATCATCCACGCATCTTCAGATGAGTTTGGGTCTTTATTTCAGAGTTGCACTGAGCTCTGACTAAGCTTTCTTCAGTTTGAAGAATAGTTCAAGCTACTGTAAGCATTTAAAATTAAGCCTGTTGATCAAATAAACAGCAAGTCTGACAACCCAACATTAATTTCTATCAGTTGGTTTTTTTCCTATGCCACTAAGGAGAAAAAAATCCCTTCTCCCTTCAGATGTATTTCCTTCCCATAGCTGTAGAAATCAAAGTTCAGGTCGGCACAGAATGTTTGGCAGCATCAGACACCACATCCACAGCTACGTGATGGCAAGATGTGCTTATACCAGCACTGAGGATCCCAACAGAGGCACAGACTCACTGCACAGTGTTGGAGGTGGTAGAAAAGTCATGCAAAGACAAAATCCCTACCTCGAAATTCACAGTCAGGGGTTGAGGCAGCATCTTAAGAGTGAAATAACCAGCTACACCAGAATAATTTAGTCTAGGCTGTGGTGGACAGATACATACTGTAAAATGAACGTTACAAGTGTTCCCAGAAGTGAGAAGGGTTTGTGGGATGAACTAGCACTAGACAGGGCAAGCAAAGCTGCAGGGACATAAAGGGAGGTAGGAGCTGTGTCTTCCCTGAGCAGCAGCCTTGAGGCAATGGAGAAACCAGAACTGATGGAGATGGATGTGATCATAACAGCAGAGTCAAAATGAAGGCATTTGCTGGGGATGTGGCTGAGAGGTGCTGGATTCAAAGGGAGGTGATGTGAGTGGGACAGGTGAACCATCAGCCTCGTGCCAGAGTGAAGAGCTGAGGGGCAGAGCACTGGGCAAGACAAGGAGCAGGGAATTTCAGGGGCTGTAAGGCTGGTTGGTTCAGGTGGTGTCTAAGGAGTTTTTTCTGCCTTTTATACCTCCTGCACTGAAAGAGGCCCAAAGTGTGACATCCAGATGTGTCACCAGGACCGAGGCCAGAGGCTCACCCATCCCCAGCACCAGGAGGTGTTTCACATGAGATACCATCTGTGTGAACCAATAAAGCCCTGCAAAGCAAAGCACACTTTGCTTTGTGCTCCATTCCAGTGCTGCCTTGCAAAGTCAACTCTACAGCTGCCAAATGCCTTCTGCAAGATCTCAGACCTTTCCCTCCCACCTTTTTTGGAATCAAACCTTATTACTAAAACCAGGACAACAGGGAAAGCCATGCTGCTGAGGAGCCTCGAGCAGATCTAAATTGGAAAGAGCAAGAGGAGGACTCTTTCCAGCTACCAGAGCTCAGTTTCTTTCTGCCTTAGTCATCCTCACTGCGACTACTCATCTGCGGTCATCCTGTTTCCCATATTTCCATTCCACACTAAATTTGATGGCTAAACAAAATACCCTTTTTGCTGCCTCCAGTGACAGGTTAACTTCTCTTACATCCATTTACAGGGTCACCATCCCATCTGGCATCAAATCCTCACCTTCACATGCCACAACACTCACCTGCTTCCCTTCCCTGGACTGCTTTGACTTCTCCCACTCAGACTCTGGTTTCCTTTCATCAGTTCTCCTCAGAGCACTTTCACACCTCTGCTTATGTGCCCAACCAAAATTCACATTCCTCTTTAACTCACATTATAAACAGATTCCACCAAAACATGTCCCTGGAATGCTAGTGCATCCCCTAGAATGCACCAGCTTAAAGTGCTGAGCAAACTGGTGATGGCTAAATGATAACAAAGGAGAAAGACAAGAGAAAGGATGGGAAGGTGGAGGTGCTTATGTAAATGCTGAGAGTACTGGGACTAAGCAAGAACCACATCATGAAGAGAATCTGGGAGAAGATTAACTTCCAGAGTAGGAAGAGGCAGCAGATGACTGTGGTTACCAATTCAGCAGCAAATACTTAATTCAACCAAAAATTAATCTATTTTCATATGAATAAACTTGAAGTTACTAATAGGGTCAAAAACATTGTCAACAACCTGTGCCAGCTTTACCCTGGTGATATATGACTGTTCAGAACAGTTTCTCAGCACTCCTGATAAAAATGGGAACAAGCATCCTTTTTTTTTTCTGAAGAAATGTCCTATTGGGGTGAAAGAAATAAAGGACAGTGAGCTGATGGTTTGGGATCTAACTCTCCTGACTAATTACACAGACATTTGTGTTTTTCCTAGACATATTTTTAGGTATGTATAGGCCTGGGGGGCACTGGCATGGAGTTTAATCCTAGAAAAGTATTCACCATGACTCTTGCTACACTCAAACTCTACCCCAGGCAGCTCCTCTCTGCCTCACTCCCTTGAGAGAGCAAACCCACTGGCCTGTTTTAAGGTCATGGCTCAGGAAGGTGCCTGCACCACATTTTTAATGTATAACTCAGAAGGATGTTAGCACTGTACGTTTTTTAATCTCTAAGTTAATACAACACAAAATTGCATTAAAAGACCATTATGTTGGAAGGCACAGTGAGGTTAGGAAATGTTGGATTGGAGTTGCCTGCACATCCTGACTGCTCAACTGCATCATGATACAGCCTTTAGCTACACAACTGCACACTTGCCCTCTGAGCATCTATGCAGCATTTCTTTGTCTTTCTTATTCCTGTGGCCCAGTTTCCTGAACACTGCTCAAAACCTGTGCTGAACACAGAATTTTATAAAGGTTTTTTAATGGCATGATCTTGATTCTTTATAAACAGCCCTGAGTCTGATTTGTCACTGACCACCTGATGCTACAGATGTGGAGCTGAGACAAGACTGTTAAAGGTGTGCACTGCTGGTAGGTGACCAAGCAGAGAAGGCTGGCACTTGAATTTTCAAAGTCAGGAGCACAACACAGATCTTAATGATTCAAAGAAGACCTCTGCTGACTTTAGATATACCTCTGAGCATTCGACATGCCTGAATATCAGTTTCCACATAGAAAAAAAAAGCAGAACATACAATACCTCAATGACCACATCACAAATCTCTGCTGTGTCCATGTGTAATGTAAAGTCTGAGGCTTGTCATTCTCTGTAGGAACTGAGAACAGACAAGTGAGGTGACATTCACTTTTGCCAGCAGGTTTTGCAAGCATTTGTTATGCAAAGTGGATGGGTGAGATGATGCTCCTCTGCTCAAGCCAAAGTTTCACAAGGAAATCTATTCAGTGGTCACAGACCCTTAAGTGCACTCTCTGTCCCTCTGCAGCCAGATTTCTTCTGCCCTTACATTTGTCCTGTTTCCACCTCTCACATAACTGTTTCTGCTGTGTGACTTCATCCCTACGTGTCCACACTGGCTCCTTATCCCAAGTGCTCCCTATTCCCACTGCTTCTCTCTGTGTCTCTACATTCCCACCTGCCTGTTCCAGGCCACTGGTGCCTAGTGTGTTTCACTTCTCTGCTGTTCCCTGTTCCTTTGTTCAGCCAGCACTCAAAACACTTGCTCTACAGCTCCTATGCCCAGTTTTAAGCCCCATGAATTTCTCCATAGGTTTTTTTTCTGCAGTCCAACTCAGCTCCTTCTCAGTGGTTTAGCCCTACTACATCCAGATTTGAGAAAAGGGAGTCATCATCCCAGTTTCCAGTTCTAGCTCTGGTGCCACAGAAGCTCTTAGAAAGATGTGAAATCTGGGGTATTTAGAAGGTGCAGAGTATTTCGTGTCACGTAGATAAACACTATTACATTGCTAACATGAGATTTTTGTAAATACAATAAGAAAAATCTGATGTAACCATGAAATTTATCACAACTAGATCAATATATATCTCAGCCCTCCGTTCAAATTGGGTTTTCACCCTTGCTCACAACTGATATTAAGAGAGATAATTTTTGGAGCAGAGTCCCATAGCTGACTAACAAAAAGGCAAAGGGAAAGCAGATGTGCTCTAGCAACCAAAAAACAAGGTTTAAGCAAACCCCTGGCACCTCACAGCTGTCCTGCTGCACGCTCAGTCCAAACTCTGCACGATGTGGGCTGATGGCAGCACTGACACTTGGGAAACCTCTGAAAACTAAACCTCAGGCTCCACTCCTGTGCCTTCCCTGCTTTTCCTCGCTCCACTAGATGGCAGTTCCCCATTTCCAAACGGGGTTTTCTGTACCTGTTGGCTCCTGCCCAGCTCTGCCAAGCAGAGTTGAGGCAGATCTGCCTTTGCTGCACACACTCCTGGGGAGCTGTCAAGGCTGGCTCAGGGTACACAGCTTTGCACTGGTGCAGACAACAGAAGAAATTTCCACAAGCACCTGAAGGGTGTGACACACCAAACACAGCCCTTATCAACCAGAGAGGTCCTCCACATCGTGTCTTACTCACCCAGAATTTTACGAGGAAGAAAGCATTTTGAGGCCCCTTCCCAAAGAGCTCCTTTAGACCGCCCTTCTTTTCAGGAAATTTGTCATAAATCTGACGAATGTCCACCGACTCGAGCAACGGGTCACTGTAAGAATGGTTAGCGTGTCCAATGTGTACGAAGAGGTGTTTATTGTACTGCAAGAAAGAAACAGGAAAATCAGTGCTGTACGAAGAGAACGGAGGGTTGTTACGGCAGGGACTGGGAGTGCTCGCACGTTACTCCTGGGACTGGGAATTTCTGCACTATGGTTTCCATGGACAACTTCAGGGATTGTGTCACAGACCCCTGTGAGCAAGGGTCAGCATCCAAAACCCTGTGTCTAGTGCAAACCCCAGAGCAAGGTCATCTTCAAGGGGGTAATTTACACTGAGAGACCCAGCGACCCTGTGGTGGCAAAGGGCCCTTTGCTCAGCATAATAAGATGAACGTGTTCGTAAGGAAAACCTATTTCTGCCACTTTAAACAGTGCCTTTTAATGTCCTGTGTCCTCAGAGCCTGAATTTCTGCTCATGCCACAGATCCCCCACGTACACACCTCCTACTTGTCTGTTAAAAAGCCCCAAACCTCCATCTATAGCATAGGCTAATGCTACTTCACTACAAGAGATGGAAGGGATTTTCTTTTAACTCCACAATGACAGTTAGTCTGCACTGCTGTTCCTACAGATGTGGTTCTCTTTGTATGTCCTCCAGTATTTTGACCCATGTGAAATAAAAGAGCCAAACCTTTCCCCCTTTCCTTGGGAGCTGCCAAAACACATTCAACTTCAATTTCCTATTTCTTAACTTCATCCCATCACACCTCACTATAATCACAGGAATCACCTTTGCAATGCCTTTTCTGCCTGGGGGAAATCCTTGGCCCAGTGAAATCCACAGCAACCTCCAACCAAACCCAATATGGTCTTTTAGGAACAGCCACAGCTCCATGACAAGAGCATCTTTCAGCACCCGAAAGGAGAGTGGAAGGATCAACCCTGAGGACCCTCTGCCAGTCAATCAGCACCTCCCAGGGTTATGTGAGCAGAGTGAAGGAGCTTGAGAATGACAGGATTAAACATTGGGGGGTTTAACCATGCAGATCACAACACATTTTGCTAAGTCAGTTAAAGGAAAGCTGATATGCAGTCAATGAACACTACCAACCCCTGTCACACTGAACAGATGCTGTATATAGAAGGGGCAATTCCCAAAAGCTAAGCACAAATAAAATATTTAAAACTCCAAAGCAAACCTCATTTAAGCTATTTTGTTTACAAGGTACCTGCTGAATGAACAAATTGAAATGACAAATCTAAATGAATTGGACAACCACTCAGAGCTCTCCTTTGGTGTGAGCAGAGTCTTCTCTAGCAGATGTCCAAAACTCTGGGGAGAAGGAAATGGACTGGCTAGATTTCTGCACTTAGGAAATGAAATTGAAATCTATTAAAAAATCATCTAGCACCGTGAAATCTGAATTTAGACCCAGAGAACACTCATCTGTGTGTGGGGACAAAAATTAGATACAGGCTGTGTTTTTTTTACAGGGCTGCATTTCTTTTTTAATTTTGTGGAAGGAAAAGGGAAGCACAACATCTTCTGAAGGTGTTTGCACAAGTCCAAGTCTGAGAGCACTGATATCATGGATTTTCCTTGCAACCTCTTTCAAAGAATGCCATCCCAGCTTATTCTGTGCTCAACTGGAAAATGTGCCCAGCCTTTGGTTAGTGAGTGTGGACCCCAAAGGGTCAGAGGTGGTGAAAAGAAGTGCTTTATCCCTTGAAGAGGAGAAGAGGCATGGCAGAGAAATCAGGGAGCTGGATGCACACGTGCAGGGGTGAGTGTGCCCATCAGCTCTCCCCCAGCACTGGTTTTTCTTGCACACTGACCATTCACACACGACACAGGCAATGACTGTACTGGTTGGCAACCACCAGTGCCTACCACAACAGAGCTTGGGGGCAGCTCTAGCAGGCTACTTCAGCCAGCAGTGGCAGAAGTGGACTGAAGAGAGATTTTAAGAGAGTACATAACACCAAGGCCCCAACTTTTGGAGTTTTGATAAGATTGTCACATATTCAGCTTGCAGTGCTGTGGGTAAAGAGCTAACAGTCAGACTGTACATTTCTTAATTATCTTGCTGACTACTGAAAAAGTTAGATTTCAGTAAAATGTCTCAGCACCCCATAACCTTAGAACTGCCAGAATCACAAGAAACAGAGTCTTGAAACCTGCTCCTCTTGTTTTCCTAAGCTACCAGGGGTGATGTGCAGAAGGACAGGGTTGGGTCCCTGAACATGGCTATCGATGGAAGTCTACCTGCAATCAGGCAAACACCTTCATTTTCCAAGGAAAATGATGAGAATTCCCCAGCAGAGCTAAGCCCTTCAGCCTCTCCTGAAAAATTAATCCAAAACACTTCCCCCAGCACACCCATACCCTGCCTAGGCATGCCCAGTGCTGTGCTCTCCCTGCAGATGTGAGATGCCCCAAAGCATCTCTCTGCTCCCTCTCATTCACAGCAAGGGCTTGAAAAACCAACCCCACCATTAGAGACCAGGCCATTATTTATTTTGGGATTGTTTCCTTTCAGTCTTCTCTGCTGGAGTTGTTCCAGGTTGTACAAATAATCACTTTTTTATACAAACAGAACTGAGGGCTCATATTCTCCTGTGCCCAGGAAAGTGTTCTCCTCCCCAGGCCCAAAGGTGGCTGTGGAGTGAAGGGAGAACTATATCTTACAGTTTGGCAACTGCAAATTCCCAAGAAAATTCACACACTGTACCTTATTCTGCAAACCAAAAAATATACGAATGGCTCAGCATCCAAACTTTAGTAAAAGCAAACACACTTACAGGGACACAGAACACGAAGCCTTAACGCTCTTTCAATATAAAAGCAAAGTTAAAGGCAGCTGCAAAGCCACCACAGTTGTCTGCAGAGCTAGCCAAAGCACCAGATGCTGCTGCAGCCAAATTTCCGAGCGGGTACAGTAGGACAGATGGTATGACATCACCTGACAACATTCTTAGGGCAGAAATGTTTATTTTGATACTGCAATGTGTGATGATTTTCTCTGTATGTTGCTGCAATTCCTATGCTAAGTACAATCATTACTAACCTAATTAGACATGGCATAATTTCTACGAACTCACAAATGATAATGGGATATTGGGAGCAGAGAAATGGATCCTGAAATGATCCCTATCGTTTTAGAACAAACACCCTCCATGACAGGAATTGATGCATCGGTAAAGGCAAAGAAGCTAAGTTTTATGCCTATAGTTTTGAGCCCATTAGTGTCTGAAAACCTTAAAAACACCCTCATTATACTGAGAATTCACTGCTGCTTTAGACTGAGTATTCCAGAGTCACTGAAGCTCATCAGGTGCTGAGGAATCTACTCATGCTACAGCATTTATAGGATTTGCATCTGGCATCAGGGCAATAATGTGCTTTAGATGCTGCAAACTATCATAGGTCAAATCCTGTATTTTTAGAGGGAAAAAACGACACAAAAATACAAAGAAGACTTTGAGCTATGTGTTCTGTGTCTGCATTACACGCCGTGCCCTGGAGATGGCTGCCTCTTACCAAGCTCCCTGCCTTAAAAAAATTCCAACTATCCAAAGAATGCAGCAAAGCCATGAAATATGACTGTTGTCAAGTAATACCACGAGAAAAATTATAATCCTCTTAGGAATTTAAAAGAACCAAGACAAATTGCCAATGGCAGGGGTTGCAAGCCTTGAAGCTGGTGCAGAACAAAGACAAACCACCTACACCTGTTTTCTCAGCCAGAATATGTATTTATAACAGCTCCTCACCGATTTTGCACTTATATTCTGAGACAACAGACTTCTTGGCCCGTGAAATGCAGGTTCCCACACCTTTGGACCTAACTCCAAGGTTTGACAAACCTGTATAGGACCAAGATTTTTATTAAACAGCAAAGCACCCATGGGACAGTGGAGCAGCACAGGGAGATGGCAGCACCCTTAATAACAGCACCTTGTTACCTTGGCTGCTCCATGGGATCTGCAGGTTCCTGCAAATTTCTAGAACAACCACGAGGGTGAGGCCACCTGTATCATTACTTGCAGCAACAAATCCCTATGGGAAAATACCATGCCCAAAGAAACTCCACCACCCAAAGAAGGACATGAAGAAGACTCTGCTGCAGGTCTGCTCTCCTCCTGACACAGAACAGCCTCTTGGCTCTTTGGGGATCAAATACACTGAGCTTGGCTGAAATGGGAGCAATCAGCACTGCTCAAGTGCCTGGCACTGTGCAGTGATCTCTCCACAGACTGGTCCAACCCATCTTTTAAAAATGCACCTCTGACTGTGCAGTGACTGTGCTGCTGGGGGGAGAAGGAGCCAGGTGGGGTGGAGTGCCTGAAAACCAGTCACTGGTGTATCAGCAGTCTGTGGCTCTAACCTGCACCCTGCCCAGCCTCAGCTCTGCTGTCTCACCCTATCTCATAAATCTGACACTCTTTAATTTCCTAAAAAAAACAACGAGTTTTCTTATTTCTACCAAAACACTAGTAACTGAATATTTAAATTCCTGTTGCAGTTGTCCTCCACTGAAGCAGACTGGGAGATATAAATGTGACATTTTAATGCTCTAACCAGAGTCTCCTGTTATTAAGGTTTTTAACACTTTCACGTGAAATGTTAATTGAACTTTCTGTGCTAGTAATGCCAAGATAAAACTGCATAGACAATCTCGTCTTTCATAGACCTCCACAAGTTCAGCCTCCTGCCTGGATCTGTGCAGGGATTGAACCAGAAATGTGAAATAAAAGGAGATATTTGGCTACTTTATGGTTGCAGAAACAGCAAAGTAAGTGATGAGGGAGGGCAGTTCCCAGCCCCGACACCTTAACATGACCCAACCCTTCCCAGCTACTGCCACAGGAGTCCCAGTGTGAAACTGGGATTTGGAAAATGCTGGTTGGACAAGGTGCTCACACCACGTTTTCAGCAGCTTTCCTGCAACAGTGAAGATGCATCCCTCAGTTCTGGCCTGTCTGATTTGAGACTATGGTCTCAGTTCCAGAAGTGCTGAGAGCTCAGATGGGAAAATTATGCCTAACTCTAGGAAGCTCTCAATGATGCTAAGTATTCTGCAAAATCAGCCTCATGA